GATACATTATATTTTTTAGCTAGATCCCGTAATGCATTTGCTAAATCCTTAGTAGTAATTATATCACTAATTGCTTCAGGTAATAAGCATGTAGCATCTGATTTTAATCTTCTAATTATTTATATATGCAAAAATTAAAACCATATTAAATATGTCTGAAATAAGTAGTAAATATATCATGAGTTATAGCAGAATGCAAGACAGGTTAAGTAAATATGGTGAAAATTATATTGTTAACAATATTAAAATGTCAGAAGCATGGTTATGGTTTGTAAAATATTATTCACCAAAATATGTACACAAATGTTTATTAAAACTAGAATATGAAATAAATAGTAGAGATTATTGGAAAAATTTTATATTTTGTATCAAAAATAATTTGACCAACCATAAACAAATAGGCAATGACCCTAATTATAGGGATTTTAAAGTTCAACTAGTATTATATAAAAAAAATTGTATGTGATTAATTATTCAGCGGACATTTCGTTTATGAAGAAGACAAATTAATTCCGCTAAAATAATCCAACATGCAGTAATTAAATGGCTATATTGACCAGATGGATCATTTATGAAATATGCTTAGAATCGGTATTATTTAAATTCTAAATATGTATTGCGATAAAATTTTAAACATAAGCATTAGATATAATATGAGCATATGACAACTGGCTTTATTAAAGTCAAAAACATTCGAAAAGATAATATTGTTGACATATTTGATTTATAATGAGTTGCAAGAATATTTAGAGATGAATTAACTTAATTATTTCGGAATAATATAAGTCAATCACGTTATGGTAGGATCGACATAGAAATTTGTAGAACATGCGTAATTATGTAAGTGTATTTATTATATATGATAATCGTTATTTTTTCGCTTGGAAATACCTCTAACATTACACATGCTTTTATGATAAGGGCGAGTGACAACAAACCTCGAAAAGGCAGTAAGAATGAAGAACTCATTGTTCTCTATCAGCTCTGTTATCAGAAATTGTGAATTATGAGGCTTTGAAATCTCTGCAATTCCAGATCATCGTTGCATTAATCAACTTCACGTGATCGATATCTTAAAGGGATTTCATTTATGCGTCTATAACTTAATGGTCTATTAATAACACCAAATATATACAGGCTTCGGCTTTGTCCTTTTACTTGATGTTTGGTTGTATATTATACAGGTGGCTAAATCATAACTGGTTTGGAGATCTTGCTATATTAGAGAATAGGAGATTCAGTTGATAAGGTGAGATTCCTTTAACGAGTTCCGGATTAAGTGAAGCATTATAAATAAGTAGGATTTGAGAAGGGTTTGTTTCTTGTCTTTCCATAAATTTTTAAGGTATGTATTAAGGTTTGACTGTATAATTATACATTGTAATTATGAAGCAAGAAAGAAAATTTAACCATTATGGGTTTTTACTAAGGATTCTAACAATTCTCTTCGATTCTGTATTCGATTCTCAAGTTTATATTAAATTTAATAGGTGGGGTATACCCCACTATCATTTTTAATAGTGTTCTGAATCTCATGTGATTCTGTTCGATTCTATTCAATTCCAATTTTCAAAACCATAGTTTTTACATGTAAGAAATATAAAATGCCTGATATCAACCTTAACTTTATCATTAAAGGTAGTGGAGTTGATGATATTTTCACTCTGTTTGTCAATAATGGGAAGTCGATTGAGTTTCTTAAAAATAAGATTCGAGCTAATCAATATAATTTAAATGAATTTGATCTTTACAAAAAGAATTTTTTTCAATCAAATAATGCTTTAGTCAGTTCATTAAAAAATCCTACCACATCTGATAATAGAGAGGAACAACTTATAAATCCACAAAAAATAATTTCTGAGTATTTTATTGTCTTAGACATCCACGCTCTTAGAACAAATCCCTCTTATCTTTCAAAAGATGGTAAAATAGGTCCTATAAATGTTATTATCTACCCCTCTGCTGAATAATTGGATTTTTTTATCCATGTAATAGCGATACATATTCGCAATTTTATTTTTTATATCTGTCTTATGTGTCTTAACACTAGCTCTGCTATTACGGGCAATGTATTTTATTTCATAATGCATAAAATGCACGGACTAAAGTCTGATAATAAAGCAGTGACCTCGAATTGTTTTGGATCCTCATATATATTATTTCCAGATTATTGAAAGATAGAGTAAATGCATGTTGTTAAAGTGAAAGATAAACTATATAAATAAGGAGAAAAATAAAAGTAAAATGAAGTAGAATATAAAAAGTAATATGATAGATATGCAAAA